AAAAAAGAAGAAGAAGAAGAAGAAGAAGAAGAAGAAGAAGAAGAAGAAGAAGAAGAAGAAGAAGAAGAAGAAGAAGAAGAAGAAGAAGAAGAAGAAGAAGAACTTTCTGTGTTATAATGATAGGCTGTTTATAATGATAGCTGGTTTAAAGTGTCCTGTCATATTTCTACATTGTTTTACCTTCCAGGTAGTGTTGGCGACATGGTTGATGTAGAAGATCATGTCGTCACTAAGCGCCGAAATTTTGTAGTTTGCAGGGGAGGCAACAGCCGCCACTACCAGCAGGCACAAGGGAAATAATTGATGCATTGTCTGTGAAAGAAAGGGGAAGTGACTGGTGAATTTTTTGAGGATGAAAAGGGAAATAGTTAACGCCAGTTAGTGTCCACAGATTTCTTGTTTTTTTATTTGTATAGAATTGACTTTGACCCATAAAAAAAAACACGAAAAAAAACCAATACCAACAAAAGAAAAAAAAATTTTAATTCAGGGAATCACATTTTGATAGGACATTTATCACCCTGTATAGTCATTTCTTTTTTAGGTATTTTGAGAAAAATGGGGAGGCATCGAAATGAATATGCATCAAAAACATGTTTATTTAACTGCATCCTCATCTACCTCACCCACCTTTTCTCATCCCCATCAAGTATCAGAGCTTAGACAGACATCGGAGTTCATGGTCTGTAAAAATCTTTCCTTTGCTCGGATTCTCTTTTCAAAAATGTATTCATTTATCCGTATCTTTCTCGTTCACAGAATACAATTTTGAATCGAATTCCTATTCTTTCCTCTCTTTTTGAAGTTGGGTTATCAGCTTCTTAGGGAACGAGACGACAACCCTTGATAGTTCGACAAAAGAATGTATTTTTTAAAAGAAAAGGTTTCGACACTTGCTTCAGTGTCCAAATGAAAAAAGCGTTCAGAGATAAGATACGTAAGCCTTGTTATGAATACTTTAAGTTTGAACACATTTCTGTCTGACATATTTAGGTCAGAACAGTTTATTGACATTCGATCACGGAATTTATAAAAGATTCAAGTAAGGTAGTAATCCTGTGTTCGTTTGTTAATCCGATTCATTTTTAATCAACTTCTATTTAAATCCGTCTCTATGAAAGACAAGAGAACAAATTCTAATGCCTATAATAAACACAGTAAGAACACCTTTTAAAAAAAAACAGCAACCATTTTAAAAAAGGCCAGGAGTCACTTACGTGTAATTTGCTTGACTTCAAAAGGAAATTGGTGAGGGAGCAATAGGAGTTGAGCCTCCTATTTAAGCGATGACAAGTCACTAACTGACGCTCACGGGATGGGTACGCCAAAGGTTTGATAACTATATTATCTTCTTGATATGGTTCAGTTTGTGGTTGGGGGGGGGGAGGGTATTGCTTTTTTTTAATCTACAGGAGCTCGCTTACCATTTTCAAGTTCTAACGATAACTAAATCTTAAAAGATTAGTGACTGTCACACGCACAACATCACGGGAGAGATAATCAATCCTTTTCAAGTCGAGGCCACACTTCACGTGTACACTGTGATAACCATTTGACAGCACCCTCCC